GTTGCTCTATGAGCGTCGCTGATTTTATCAGTTTCCTGGGGGAGGTCACTAGGTCTTCCCACTGTTGTCTGGTGAGGTCTGTGGCCAATTCTCCCTCCCATTGTGTTGCCGGCGAGGCTGTTGCTAGGGGTGTGTAATCTAAGATCATTTTATAACAGGATGACAGTGGCCTGTATGTCTTCGGGAGTCTGCGTTTGATGCAGATGTCCTCCCAGAGGGTGCTCAAGGGTAGGCCTGAACTGTGCTTAGTGAGATCCTTTGTGTTGTGTTTGTGTAGGAAGGATGCCAGTTGTCTATAAGAGAAGTGTGAGGAGGTCGGAATGTTATATGTTTTTTGTAGCGTGTTGAAATCTGTGAGCGCGTTACCCGTGTGGGCATGTGCTAAGGTTGTGATGCCTCTTTCTTGCCATGGAGCCGCGTGGAATGTGGGTATGCAATATGTTAGGGCACGTATTGGCGTGGCTTGTGAGACACGGGGGTTCAAGCTCAGCTTGTTCCTGTGTATCCCAGACTTTTAGGAGTAAAGTGATCTGTGCAGGGATATCTATCATTGGTGGCCTAAGTGTCCTGGGGAGCCATAACACGTGTGAGAGTTCGTACGGTTCCATCAGGTGTTGTTCTAATGTCACCCACTGGGGGGGTGGTTGGTCTAGCAAGTGTGGCAGTGCTGATGCCAGTATGGAGGCATGGTAGTAGGCACGTATGTCTGGTACTGCCAGGCCACCTGCTTTCAGCGGTGCTGTCAGCAGTTTCCGCGCTACTCGCGGTTTCTTTCCGTTCCATATAAATGTGTTGATGTCTTTTTGAATTGCTTTGAAGTACGTTTGGGGAACCCCTATGGGCAGCGTTCTAAAGACATACTGTAGCCTGGGAAGTATGGACATTTTCAGTGCAGTCACTCGTTCGGTCCATGTAAGGAATAGGGGTCCCCACAGTTTGAGGGTTGCCTTGCACTCGTCCCACACTCTAATGTGGTTCACCTTTATTAAGTCTTTGGTTTGTTTGGTGATATGGAACCCCAGGTATGTTATAAAGTCTTTCCTCCAGTCAAAGTCATATTTGATGCGTAGCGATTGGATTAGGGAGGAGGGAAGGTTTATCCCCCTGGCTTGGGTTTTTGATGAGTTTAGGGAGTAGTATGATAGGCGGCCGTATGTTTGTATTGCCTGCATTATGTGTGGTAATGAGTCTTGGGGTCTAGTTACATATAGAAAGATGTCGTCTGCGAAGGCGCTGATTTTATATTCGGTGTTCTTTACCTTAATGCCCGTAATCTCTGGGTGGGTCCTGATAGTACGGAGTAGTTCAAGTGCCAGCACATATAGGAGAGGGGAGAGCGGGCATCCCTGTCTCGTCCCGTTAGTGATGTCAAAGGGTGCAGATTTGAACCCTGATTGAAGGACCTGTGCTGCCGGGCCGGAGTAGAGAGCGAATATTTGGTTTATCGCGGTCAGTGGGAATCCATATGCTCTTAGGGTTCGGTCTAGGAAGGGCCAGCTGAGGCGATCAAATGCCTTTTCGGCGTCTAGGGCTAGTAACAGTCCTCCTTCCCTGCTTCTCCGTAGGCCTTCTAGTAGCAGCGTAAATTTTCTAGTATTGTCCAGTCCCTGTCTACCCGTCACGAACCCCGTCTGGTCATCTCCTATGAGATTAGGAAGTATGTCACTGATTCTGTTAGCTAATATTTTCGCGTATATTTTGGCATCAGTATTGAGCAGTGAGATTGGACGGTAGTTTTGGCATTTGTCTGGTGTTTTCCCCGGCTTAGGGAGTGTGACGATAGTGGCTAAGAGCATCTCTGGTGGTAAAGTCCCTGAGTTCGCGGTAGCCTGGTACACTTTAAGTAGGTGTGGGGCCAGTTCTGTGGCGAATAGTTTATAGTAAGCATTAGTGAAGCCATCTGCCCCTGGAGATTTTCCATGAGGGAGACCCGCTATCACCTTTAGGATTTCCTGTATTTCTATGGGTTTAGTCAGATTAATTTTTTGGACTTGGGATATTTGGGGGAGATTGGTTCGTCTCAAATATTCGTCTATGTCTGCGTGGCTCGCTGTGTGTGTGGTGTCTTGTGATTGTAGGTTGTATAGTTTGGAGTAGAAGTCGGCGAATTCTTTGCTAATGTCTGCTGGCGAGTGATGTGGTTTGCCGTCTGCCCCTGTGATTCGTGCGATTTTCGTGTTGGCATATCTGGCTCTTAGTCTATTGGCCAAGTATTTACTGGTTTTACCTCCATTGTGGTAGACATTGGCTTTCAGTTTATAGAGTTTTTTGTTTTTTCTGTGTTTAGTTCTTTCAGTCTCGTGTGCAATTGTTGTAGTTTTGTTGCTAGTGTTGGGGAGGGTTGTTGTTTGTTTTGTTTGGATACTAATGCCAATTGTTTTTGACAGTCTAGGAGAGTGGTTTGGTGGTGCCGTTTCAGGAAGGATGCCCTTCTAATGAATATCCCTCTCATGACTGCTTTGTGTGCTGCCCATACCATGGTGTCAGAGACCCCTTCCCCTACATTGGTAGCAAAGTAGTTCCGGAGTGCCTCCCTACTCTCCTCCGCAAAGGTTGAGTTCAGCAGCAATGAGTCATTCAGGCGCCATGTTCCCCTCCCCTTGAATTGGTAGGCGTCTAGGAGGTCAAGATACACCGGTCCATGGTCTGACCATGTTATTTCCCCTATCGTACATTCCTTGAGTTGTGCTAGAAGTGGCCTATCTAGGAGGACCGTGTCGATGCGTGTATAAGTGTTATGGACCCTCGAGTGGAAGGTGTAGTCTCTGTCTCTGGGGTGTAGTGTTCTCCACGCATCATACAAGTCATAACGGTCTATCAGCTTAGTGAAAAGTTTGCTAGTAGAGACCATCCTTTTTTTACTATTACCCGTGAGGGTGGCTGTCGTGTCTAGGGTGGGCGACTGGATGCAATTAAAGTCCCCGCATAGTATTACGCCACCCTGCTTAATCTTGTCAGTTAGGTTGAGCAACATTTGTAGGTACTGCCCCTGTTTCTCATTGGGGAAGTATGTGGCTACTAGCGTAAGTTGGACGTTGTTAAACTGGCCCACTAGTATGACATATCTGCCTTTCGGATCTATACACTGTTGCTGTATGGTAGCTGCTACATCTTTGTGTATGAGGACTGTCACCCCTCTTGATTTTGTGGCAGCTTGGGAGTGGAACTGAGTGGGATATGTCTTCATATATATTGCCGGGGTGTGGTCATCCCTAAAGTGTGTTTCCTGGATACATGCTATGTCAACCCTATGGTTCGTGAGGTCTTTAAGCAGTAGCCTCATTTTACCAGGGGTGTTTAATCCTTTTACGTTGTATGAGAGACTAATTTCATAATGGTATAGCGAGTGTTTTCTGGATCTACTCTTGGTCGTCACTATGGTGGGATTCAGCTTGCATGCCTTCGGTTCAGTGTGGCTAGAAGGCGGTGGTTGGTTTCTGTTGATGCTATATGGGACATGGGGGGAGGGGATTTCAGAAGGTGGGGGAAACTTAGGAGGTGTAAAACAAACAGTTAGACAGTACGTCTTAAAGAACGTCTCCATAAGGAGCTGAGATGTGCCGGGGGGGTCCCGGTCACATTTGTTGGGGGGTGGGTGTATGAGCCCGGTCATATTCCGGTGACTCATTCGTGGCTGCAGCAGTGGGGCCGCAGCGTTGCATTGCTAGGATAATGAGCGCCTATCTGGGTTTAGTTCCCTGGCATTTCAGGATGGGGGCCCTAATGTGTAGTGCCTGTGTCCCAAAGGTCCCATTAACCAGCCCCTGCATCTATAATATTGTACGCTTATAACTAATAGTACAGGATATAATAACCGAAGGGGAAACATAACGTAATACAATGGTTAATTTAAACTTACACTTTCGCTGTAGTAAATGTTTAGCGATATAACCATGGGTTATCCACAGCCTACCTCCTTACGGAGGCAGGAGAAGGTTGCAATGTTCAAGTGGTTGACCAGTCTCTGGTTACCCTAGGGGTTTTGTGATGGGGTTGTTTCATCTCGTCTCGGACTTGTATTCCCCAGTCCTTGAGCTTACCAAGCCCCATTTCTGGATTAATTACCACATGCATTTTCCCTTCACGGTGGATCAGTAGTTTGGCCGGGTACCCCCATCTATAGGCGATGTTCTTCTCTCGCAGGGTGGCGGTGATCTGGGCCAGGCTTTTCCTGAACTGTAACGTTTCTGCTGATAAGTCCGCAAAAATTTTGATGTGTCCATAAGGGTCCGGCATACCTGCTGTTCTGCTTGCTTTCACTATCTGCTCCTTCACGTGGAAAAAGTGAATGCGAGCGATGACATCCCGATCTGTGGAAGGCGGCAGGTGTTGCGGCCGTCTGAGGCGGTGTGCCCTGTCTACCACCATCTGGTCTGGGTGTATTGCTGGGGCGAGCGCTTGGAACATGTCCTGGAGGTAGTCACCTAGGCCTGCCTGCAGCACTGTTTCAGGTATGCCTCTTATCCGGATGTTGTTTCTCCGGGAGCGGTCTTCCAGGTCCGCCACTTTTGCTTTAAGATTATGTAGGTTAGTCTCGTAGTCTTGTACTTTTTCAGCTAAATAGTTGTGAGCATCTGTGCAGTCGTCCAGTTTCTGCTCTAACTGAGCTGTGCGCTGGCCTATGTCTGTAACCTCCTTCCTCAATTCTGCTGCCAGGCTTTGGAGCTGCTTTTTCATATTAGCCTGGAGGTTTTCAGCCAATTCTGCAAGCATGAGCCTCATTGAGGTTGTGGTGAGGGGTTGCTCCTCTGTTAGGGAGCTGGTGGATGTCGCTGGTGAGATGGATCCCTCGCGGGAGCGATCTCCGCCGCCATCTTGGACGGGGCCGCCGGTTTCCCGCGTTTTTTTTGCGGCCGATCTGGCTAGGAAGAAGGTTGCCCTTTCTGCTTTGGCAGCTTTCTGCTTCTGCCTGTGGGACATTGTACGTCTGGAGGTACCTTTAGGCACTGCTTTGCGGTCCGTTTATGTGTGCTGTGTCCCCGAAACTGCAGGAGCCTCACATGCAAGCGTCCATGCCGTTCGAGCGCCTAGCCACGCCCCCAGAATTAGATGTTTTTAAAGATCAAGCAAGTATCCTTATGGATAAATTTACGGAGAAAAAATATCCGAAAAGTATACTTGATAGAGCATATGAGGAAGTAACCATACTTGACCAGGAAGATTTAACCGTGGGACGAAAGAATAGACTAACTGAAGAAAAAGATAAAAAGATGCCCTTGGTATTTTATTTTAATAGTGATTCCAGAAAAATCAGGTCTATAATTAATAAACATTGGCCCTTACTGAAGAAAGATCAAGAATTGAAATTTACCAGAAAGACCTTTTATTACCTTTAGAGGTGCACCAAATTTTAAAAGACTCCTAACTTTTAATCTCCCTAAAAAAGAAGTAGGAACAACGTTTTTAAATAATAAGAGTGGTTTTTATTCATGTGGAAAGTGCATGGGCTACAAATGCAGTAAAAATAAAACTTTAAAAGGAATAAGCAAATTTAAAGCAAGACAAAAGGATGAGGAATTTTTTATAAAAGATTTTATTACTTGTTGTAGTAAAAATTTAGTTTATTTGCTGATTTGCCCATGTGGGTTACAATATGTGGGTCGCACAATACGTCCCCTCCATAAACGTATTTATGAACATGTGTATAATATAAAACGGGGCTTTGAGCAACATAGCGTTTCAGCCCATTTTAATAAATACCACAAAAGGGATCCCAATGGGTTAATCTTTCTAGGAATTCAAATAGTTAATAAATCTTGGAGAGGAGGAGATCATATAAATGCAATAGGTAGGGAAGAAATGAAATGGGTACATCGTTTGGGAACCCTAGAGCCGAGAGGTTTAAATATAGAATTTGATTTGTACAATTTTTTAAAATATATATTGATTTTTTTAAATAAAATTTTTTTTTCAATTTTTTATTATGTTTTTTCAGTTTTAGGATAATAATTATTTTAGAGATATCTTTTTAATCTTGAATCTTAAATTAATAGGACTTTGTTTATATTATATTTGATAATACATTTTAAACAGATATGTGTATAACAAATGTGATCTGTAAAAAATATGAGTGTTTATATATGTGATAAAGAAAATGCTGTTTAGGTGATATGACATTGGGAATGAATACTCAAGTGAAGATTCTCGTATGAGTACTAAGAGTTTACAGCTGGTTATTGTAAGTGCTCCGTTCATTTTTTATTCTATTTCTTTCACTATAGCACTGGTATATTAGTGGCATTTGCACTTTTGCACTTTTTTGCACTTACATCAGTGTATGTAATATTAACACACTTGTAAAACAGAGGCTGTGGATTGATATAAGCACTAGAGTGTTTTTAAAGGAATATTGCACATTTTTTGTCTTAAAGACATAGCGCACCCTTTTTTCTGTAATATTATAGTAAAACAAAACACGCTAATTTATCCATCATTACAGAGTACTAGCTGGGAAATATCTACCAATTCATGAGTAGGTTTGCCCTTCTTTTTCTCATTATCTTTCTCAATATTGCATGATCATCTAAAGAGCATCGTCATCACCATCATTAAAATTTTAACAAATATATTGCACCAACATCCCTCCCCAAAAAATATTTGTTCAAATTTGGAAAGATTTTAAAATGTGTTCTATTCTTAGATAAAATTCTAGTTTTAACATATATGTAGCAAATTCACAACATCTAAGTTCTAAAAGAGGAAAGCTTTATGATTGTAGTAGACCTTCTTTCTTGACTTTATTGCCGACATAAATTACAGTAATTTGCTCATAGGATTTCACCATGCTCTCTTTTTCCCATTGGCTGTAAATCTGCCTATTAGTATTGACCTTGGGGTTGACTAACATTTGTTTTGCTGGGAACAGCAAGAACTGCTTAATATGTCCATGCATATATTTGTATGAATGGTGAAATGAAGACTAGCATAACACATTATTTGGAGAGTACTGCAGCATAGAAACAGTTATAATATATTTTAATAAGAAATATCTTGAACAGTACTGGTAGATCACCTATTGTTCCTAAATCAAAGTATTGCATTTAACGGTACAAGTTGGTATACTAAGTTAAGTGATACAATTGTGTCTGCATAACTGGGAACACTGCTAATTACTGGGACCAGGAGCTCACATCGGGGAAGGGTGGAAATTACTGATTTTAAAAATAGGTTAACTAGTTAAAGAATTATGGGATCCAAAACTGGGTGCAACTGATAATTTACTGTCAGACCTCCATAAGACCATCAGAATACATCTAAAGTGTCTTCATGTATGATTTTAGAACCCAGAAATATATATATATCAATAAATAATAATATACTATATATTTTTAATTTGTTAAATCATCTAATGAGGACTTTCTTTTACCATAAAATTGTCCCTTGCTACTGCAAATACATGGAAAAAATATATAAAATTTATTTAAACAGTAGGCATTCTTCCTGCTTTTAAAAATCTAGAACTATTTATATTTTCTTGTTTGACAAAAGGTTAAAATAGCTTAAAAAAAAAAAGAGGTGAACATCTTTCAGTCACATGCAATTCTTTGCTTTGAATATCAATTTCTCTGATATGTTGCTCCACTTAGTATATTTTATGTCCTTCCTGCATTTTAGTGCATTGTTACAGCTCACTGATTTCAACCTTGTGCCCTACATGTGTTAGATAGAAGCTTATTGAGACATGTATAAATGTGATGAAAGCTTCCATTTTTTATGTTTCTTTTTCTCTCTTGTGGTGTATTTAGTCAAAAAGAATGGGAAGGAACTGATTGTTGAACTGTAGTTCTTAGGCGGCAGTAAGTAAGTCAGGAGAAATTAATGGTGCTTATAATGTGAGTCTGTGTGTGTAAGGAAAATATAAGCAAAGGGGCCATTTAATGAGTAGTCCACAGAATGCAATACGTACATATTTCAGAAAAGAACATCTTGACATAATTAAGAGAGTTCTGCCTTGTTACCTACAGACAGAAATGGGATATGACTGTCTGCCTAGAATTCATGCTGCAGAGAAATGACAAAAAAAAAAAATCCTTAATGTGAACACTTTCTAAAAATGTCCAACGCAGAACAATATTTATTTGGGAAAACTTAAAGGAACACTCATGATAAAAAATAGCCCTATGAACAGTGATCCAAACGTTCACAGCACTCTCATTTAGATTAAACTGTAAATTCAACAATAAAGGTAGAGTTCAGTATCAAACTTCAGTATCACTGCTATCTGAATGAATTACACCACCAATTTCACACACAAAATGTATATGTAAGGCAACCTGTGATTCTCTATGAGTTTCCTATGTATTTGGAATAATTAATTGACCTATTACTCAAAAATCACAAGAATGGTTTTCCAGAGAAGATCATTGTGCAGTTTATAACAACCACACTTAAAATTGCTTTTTCATGTTGTCAGGGCCACACCTATAAGGGGCCTGTTAGAGCAGTGGGGTCCGCATAGAGCAGTCCGCATTGTGTACTCCAGCAAACTGGGCCACTTAATGAACTTCACTGACAGCCAGCTCTTCTCTTCTGTAAGGCAATGCTGTGAATAAGTAATGTCAGGTCATATATAGGGGGTGTGTATATATAGAATTGCATGTGTGTGTAGATGGGTGTGTGTTTAATATTGTATGTTATATTGTATGTGTGTAGCAGTAATGTGTGTATAATTGAAGATTATGCTAGCTTTAGTGTACAGATTAATCTTAATTTTAATAATGACAGGAGGCGAGTATTTTGCATAATCTTTCTTTACTATCTCCATAGCAGCAAAGAAAAGAGTGACAAAACTTTTAACCAATCACAACGTAGAATAGGGTATAAGAGGTGTGACCTATGACATCATTTCCTCTTTAAAAATTGCGACATCACAAGTTCATAAATGTAGAAAATAACAGAACTGAGAAGTCCATAGAGTAAGAAACTGGAAACTGAATCAGAATAAATCGAACCGGAACAGGTAGAATGCAGACGAAGGCGTCTCCTTGTCAAACGATGGTCTACCAAGACCTGATGATAAATCTTCTGATGCGATGATGACGACATCTTGTATGGAGACTTTAATGATTCCGTGTAGCTTCTGGTTAAGCTGAAACGAGAGTATAAGGTGCGTTAGAGTCCAGAAGTGATTGTATAAAACAAAGGATGTCTGTCCTGTAATTCAACTTTAATATCGTCTAGTAACATGATAATAATAAACTAAACGTCCTCCCTTAGTGGTGTTAAATAAGTATCCCACCCAGACAATATATATATATATATAGCTCTATAAGCGAATGTAAATAAGGCATTTAAACAAGAGCTACCGCGTCAGGTATTATACCAACATATGAGAGAGCAAAGAGTAACAGGTAGAAGTGAAAATGAAAGGGAGGGAAGAACGAAAGAGAACAGGGAGGGAAAATACTCGCCTCCTGTCATTATTAAAATTAAGATTATCTGTACACTAAAGCTAGCATAATCTTCAATTTTATCACATGACAGGAGGCTTCGTATTTTGCAATTTCAACGCTGTGAAAGAAAAGCAAACGCCGGATTGTCAAGAGGGCGAAAGTAGAATGTCCTAAAGGTAGATTCTCTGGTCCAATCCGCCGCTCGTAAAATGTCCGAAAGGGACGCGCCTGCCGCATAAGCGGAAGAGGCCGCTGCCCCACGAACGGAGTGTGCTCCAAAAGTTTGGTCAATACCGGCAAGGGATAGTAGCCATCTAACCCATCTGGCCAGTGTAGTAACCGAAACCGGACCATAAGGGCGGACGTAAGAGATGAGAAGCTGATGAGTGGAAGGCTGCCGCAACGTCGCGGTGGCTTCCACGTATTGACGGAGGGTTGAGACCACGCAGAGTTGAGAGTCAGAAGGGAAGAAAGGGTAGAAAACCGAGTGAGAGTTGGACTTAGTGCGACGTGAGATCCAAAAGGTGACACCCGCCGGACAGAAGGTAAACGCGTTGGCGTCAAAGGCGCGTACGTCCGCTACCCGTCGAAAGGAAACCAGACAGAGCAGGAGGGTGAATTTTGCGGTAAGCTGGCAGAGTGATAGTTTCTCGTTGGGAGGCCAATTTCGTAAGAATTGAAGGACCACACCAACGTCCCAAAGTCTAGAATATTTAGGTTCCGGGGGGCGCCGTAGGCGCATGCCGCGGAGAAGTCTGCAGATGAGCGGGTCCTTACCAACAGGAGTCCCCTGTGTCGGAGTATGAGCCGCTGAGATGGCTGACCGTACCACATTGATGGAACGGTATGATTTTCCGGCAGTGAAAAGTGAAGTCAGGAAATTCATGATGGAGTGAGTAGGTGCAGTAAAGGGATTGAGGTCCCGTCCCACACACCAACTTGTCCAGGAGTGCCATGCTGATAAGTAGCACCTCCTAGTTCCTGGTGCCCATGAATCCCATAGCAGGTCCTTAGTTTCCTGCGATAATTCTTCGGTTCTCCAGGAGCCCCGGAAAGAGTCCAGGCCACAAGGGGCAAGCGTTCCTGCAGGACTAGTGGGTGAGGTAGGCCCAATGGGTTCCTGAGGATGGTTGGGGCATCTGGTAGGAGGAGGGGGTCGTTGATTGAAAGTTCCAGAAGGTCCGGATACCATGGCTGGCTCTGCCAGAGCGGCGTGATGAGAATTATTCTCACTCCCTGTAGACGGATCCGGTGAAGGACCCTCGTTATCATTGCGAAAGGAGGGAATGCGTAGGCACCGTCCCTTGGCCATTGTTGGAGAAAAGCGTCCGTTGCGAGGCTCTCCGGGTCTGGGAGCCAGCTGAAGAAAACGTCTGTCTGTCGATTGTTGCGGGACGCGAAAAGGTCTATGTAGAGAGGTCCCCTCTGTTCATCCAGTAGTGCGAGAATGTGAGGGTCTAGCTGCCAATCGCTGGCGTCCCGCCAGTGGCGTGAGTACCAATCCGCCGTCGTATTGGAGTCTCCTGGTAAGTGCTCTGCCAACAAGGTGATGTTGCGTGGTAGGCAGTAGTCGAAGATCTCTTTCGTGAGATCCGCCAGTGTTCGAGAACGAGTGCCTCCAAGGCGGTTGATGTATCTGACCGCTGAGACGTTGTCCATGCGGAGTAGGATGCAGCAGTTGGATCGGTCCTTTGCCAGGCTGCGAATGGCGAAGGACCCGGCCAAGAGTTCCAGGCAATTTATGTGCATCGAGAGCTCTTCGGAAGTCCAGACTCCTCCTGTGGACGTGGTTCCGTCTGTTGCTCCCCAGCCTGAACGACTGGCATCCGATTCCAGCACGAAGTCTGGCTGGTTCCCGAATATGGCCCTGCCATTCCAAGCTTGCATGCATTTCAGCCACCAGTGTAGTTCTTCCCGAACTTCGACCGACATAGGAACCGGTTGGTCGTATGTCGGTTGTCTGCGAAGGAAACTTGCCTTGAGGCGTTGCATGGCCCTGTAGTGCAGGGGCCCGGGAAAAATGGCCTGGATGGATGCGGAGAGAAGGCCTACGATCCGTGCCAGTAATCGTAGGGGTATGGTAGTCCGACGAAGGATTTTCCGGATCTCCCTGCGGATTGCCGTAATTTTGGTAGCCGGGAGGTGGAGAGTGCATGATGTGGAGTCTATTACGAATCCGAGGAATTGAACTGATCGAGCCGGGGTCAATGCGGACTTGGGACGGTTGACAACGAAACCCAGAGAGTCCAAAAGGTGTAGTGTGTATTCAGTGTGTCTCCGCAGAGTCTCTGCATCCTCGTCGAAGATCAGGATATCGTCGAGGTAGATGATGCATCTTATGCCTTGGGATATGATTTTCGCCACTACCGGCTTGATAATCTTGGTAAAGCACCACGGGGCCGAGCTGAGGCCAAACGGGGACAGGTGAACTGCCAGAAGAAGCGGAGGTAGGGACGGCTGTTTCTGTGTACCGGACTGGTAAGGTACGCGTCTTTGAGGTCCAGACGAGTGAACCAGTCGTCGCGTCGAAGCAAGTCCCGGAGAAGATGTATAACTTCCATTTTGAAATATCGGTATACCACGTGAGAATTGAGCTCCCTGAGATTGATAACGGGGCGAAATTCACCGGTTTTCTTCCTGACCAGGAAGATATTGCTGTAGAAAGCGGTGGCATCCGGAGCCGGTTGGATGGCACCCTTGGAACGAAGTTCTCGGAGTTCCGCGTCTATGAGGCGGGCGTCTGCCCGTGTAGTCTGGATCGGATGTGGAGGGGCCAGCTGGAGCGGGGTCGAGTCGAACTCTATTCGATAGCCCTGCACCACTTGGATTATCCACGCGTCTGAAGATAGTTCTTTCCAGTTCTGGAAAAAAAAAGAGAAACACGACCTGCGATATGACAGGGGGTTAGAGGAAGAGTAAGATTCCGACTTACTGTTGGAGAATCTTGCTCGTGAGCGTCCTCGGCTGCCTCGGCCACGATCAGATCCCCTGAATTGGTGGAATCTATGTCGACTAGATGAGTCTGGGTAGAACATTTGCTGAGTCCTTGTTGTACGGGGGCCGGATGGCCAAAAACGGCTGGCGGCACGGCCCCTCTGCCGTCCAGCCCTTCCAAAAACACCACAGGTGTGAGAACCGCGAAAGACTTTCCGCATTGAAGTTTGTGCCTTGTTAAGGGACGTGAATATGTTGACCCTTTTATTTAATTCCTTAAGGAAGGCCTCTCCAAATAATTTACCCTGTGCTAAGGGTCCTAATTCCTTGTCCCCCAGTTCGACCAGTTTTTCGTTGATACGGTAAAGTGCTGCTCGGCGCCTCTCCGAAGAGAGGGCTACGTTGGTGTTCCCTAGGAAACAAACACCTTTGTGCCCATTCCCGGGTATCTCGTGCCCATTCACGCACCGTATCTGGGGTAAAAGTGTCAGCCCTCTCATAGGCTTCATCCGCCATATCCATGATTCTGGCTAGTGGCCCAATGGCATCTAGCAGTTTGTCTTGCGCTCCTTTAAAGCCGCGATCTATGCCCTTGCGCGGATCCCGACCCCCTCGGGACATGAATGTAGTCATGAGCGGGTCAAACTCGGGGGTGTGCGTCACTTTGTCTGGTAGACTAGGGCGAGGGCATTCGGATCTCATCCGGTTTCTTACTTCCTTGTCCAGCGATTTTCTGAGCCAGAAGTGCATAAACCTTGCCAAATGCTCAGGTGGTGACCATTCTTCCGAACGGGGGTGCCGGATGTTTCTTGGGTCAAACATTTGGAGGCCCGAATTGTCGAGGAAAATCTCCGTGCCCTCCTGTGGGTTATCCATGGATGTTGCCATGGAGTCCTGGGGCTCACCCAGACCCTGTTCCCTTATGAAGTAAGGGTCAGAGTTGGCCGTGGAATCCCTGTCGGAGTCCCCCTGGTCAGAGGCTGCCGCCTGCCATTCATCCAGCACAGCTAGTGCCTGAGTGGGTTCTACATCTTCCTCACCTGAGGAAAGTTTTGTGGCATTGTGAGTAGCACGAACCGTGGCTTTTCTGCGATCAGCAGGGGCTTTCCCTTTAGACTTGCGTGGGGTTACATTGCCCTTCCAATGGCGTTTTCGCCGTTGGGAGTGTTCCCTGGAAGAGTCGGAGTCTTTGGAGTCCGCTTTATAATGAACCCGTTTAGAGATGGGCCTGGGGACTTCAGAGTCTGTTTGGAGCGACTTGGAAGCGGCTTGTTCCATAGCTGCAGCCACGGCTGCTGTTATCATGGCCTGGAGGTCTGAGGTTTGTGATTCCTCCATTATAAAGAATGAGGATTCGGGGCTCACCCGATAAATTGCGTGAGGGCACTAGGCACGATTAGTGGAGAGGCCTGGGGACCGGGGTGGTATAGTATCAGGACTAAATAACCTGTGGTTAGAGACCGGTAGGTCGTAGGAAGAGGAGAGGGCTGTTTCACTGGGGCTCACCCAGGTGATCAGAAACCTGCATGAACAGGTCCGTTTAGCAGCATAAAATGGGGGCTCACCCCAGCCAGAATAAGGTACAAACCAACTGGCTACCCCAAGTGTAAGGCACTAACCTGGTCCCACTGAGTGAAAAGGGTCAAGGATTTCCAATTGCTTGCAGGATTAGCTGGAGCAGAAAAAATCAGGCAGTGTCTATCTCTTTAAGATGGCCGCCGGACTGACAGGCTTAGTGTGTGGAGGATAGTACCTCCCCCAGTTCGGGCGGCAAACTGTAAGCTTGCCGTTCGCATAATTAAACTGCCGAACGTGCGAATAGAAAATCTATGCGAACTGCCGAACGTGCGAATAGAAAATAGATGCGAACTCCTAAAAAGACGATCGCGTCAAACTGCCGAACGAAGCGTTCGGTTGAAAGAAACGAATAGTCAATGTGCGGTCGCACAGAAAAGACCGCGGGCATTCGTGTCAAACAGGCGAATGCGCAAAAACTACCGAATAAAGCGTTCGGTAGAAAAACAACCGAAAGGGTTGTGCGCGAGCGCACAGAAAAGCCGTTGGTAGAAACAGATATGGAGGGAAAGTACAGACGGCGGGGAAGCCGTGAAAGACACCTAGGGAGCCAGGCAAGTTCCCATGGTATACAGATAGGGTAAGAGCAATAATAGGGCAAATATATAAAGGTACAGTGATAGAATAAAAGGCATGTAAATGAATAAGTGTATGTTGAATAGATAACACGAAATTTAGTACTTAACTTGTGATGGAGCAGCAAAGAAAGAGGAAATGATGTCATAGGTCACACCTCTTATACCCTATTCTACGTTGTGATTGGTTAAAAGTTTTGTCACTCTTTTCTTTGCTGCTATGGAGATAGTAAAGAAAGATTATGCAAAATACGAAGCCTCCTGTCATGTGATAAAATTGTATGTAGCTGGATGTGTGTTCAGCAATGTATATGTGTGCAGTAGGGTGTGTTAGTTTGTGTAGTAGTGTGTTTATATTTATCAGTGTGATCATGCGTCTTTGTTTAGCAATGTGTGCATTTAGTATTGTGTGTGACTTGAAGTATGTATTGGGGTGTGCATGTGCGTGGCTGTCTGTAACTGTGTGTAATGGTGTTTTGTATCTGTTAGTTTACATGCGTGTGTATCCTATGAGTTTATCTTGAATGTATATCTGTGTCTGTGTGACTATGAATGTTCATTTCTCTTTGGAAGCTTGTGTTGGAGTGTCTCTGTCTCTGTCTGGTAGCATGTCATGGGGCCCAGTCAGTGAATTTGTAAGAGGTCATAAGAATTTTAATGGTGGCCCTGTATTCTGTCTAACATGAATGAGACAGATTTGTTTCAATTTCCTGGAATATGGATGACTAAGCAGAATTTTTCAAAGAAACCCTACTGAAGTGCTCACAGCTCTGCTTATCATTTCTTTAAATCCTCTCCTAAGACCAGTTCAACATGCGAACAGGACCTCAAAATTGGGACAGTATATAGAATTACTACATATGAAGTGGTAGTTTGATACATTAATTAATAAAACTGGATACTAATCATATTGGTTTGCTGTTCAATCTGTAGTTTTCCATTCAGTACTTTAAAACCATAAAATTATAATTTTGTACATAAAGTTATAAAATAAAATTGCATGCATGTTTTGTTAATTTATGGAGAACAAATATAAATTGGTGATTGCAATTAAGTTTTCACCATAGAATGTTTCCATCATGTAAAATTCATAATAAATGAATTCTTAGATTATAGTTTTTTTCCTTATAATCTAAAAATCCGTGTGAAAGGTGTATGGCATTAGATATTTTTATATGACAGTTACGTTTAATGACAGGAATCAGTTTTATGCTATGCCCCAAAAAAATAAAAATGATGCTATGATTCACTAAGACATTTTGATAACCTAAATTACCATTGTCATGGAATATGAAGATACAATCTAAAAGTTAATAAGCAATAAGCGTGTCAGGTGTAATTCCATATAATTAGTATACAGATTTTTTTCATCATGATGGCATTTTTTTTATCCTCACAAATACAAATCAAAGGGCAAGCGGTAAAATGACCCACCATTAGAACACTCAAAGGGACAGGTGGCTTACAAGCCCAAATCCTGTACCTGAGACACACTACAACCCAGGTGCTGAACCTCTGCACCTTTCCACATAGCCCACGCACCCACCTCTGGTAAAGGCAGCCAGCTCGCTATAACTAACCAGCTCATTAAAAAACAAAAAGTGCATTGTTGGCCTTAATACAGATCACGAAATGTTTGAACTATGGTTATATCGTTATACTTCATGCATATGTTGATGTGACATACCCAGACATGTATGTAACCCCAATAATGCATTGAAAATAAAGAATAAAAAAATAAAAACAAATACAAATCAAAGGGTTTTTTTTTTTTTTTTTTACAAATTTATATATTTTTGGCCTATCTATTGTACTGTGATTGTATTTCTGCCTCAACTCTATAATATTTTATACACAACATGATAAGGGAAGTATGCATGTATTTTACTATGCTAGCTAATCATCCTACATGTCAAATATATCTTTTTGTGTACATGTAAATTTAGATCAAAGCAAACAATTAATATATTGTGTTAGCAATATTGCAAGCAAGCAAGTACCTGCGATAAATTTATTGGTTTTCCTCCATCAATGTACAAAAGAGATTCTACTGAGATGTACTTTTCATGTGCATTTATAAATATACACAAATAAATAGCTGATGGGACAACCGCGTCTGCGAATCAGCTTTCCAAAAAAAATGTTTTCTTTTTTCTCTTTTCCCTTTTTATTAGGGCAAACATAAATACATAAATGATGCTATTTATTATATTCAACTACAATTGTACAGCACCAACACAATTGCCCCAAAGGTAAATCCACCCCACTACTATATAGATACAGTAGTGAAAAGTTCACTATAAGATAAAATGTAATCACACTACCATAAAAATAAGGGACTATATGTATTGTTGTACTCACTGTTGT